AGAACCTAGGATTTCAAGGGAATGTTCCCTGTCCAACTATAGCGTGGATAACTAAGTTACCGAAATTCCAGGACCAGTACGTACAAGAGGTTTTAGCTAGCGGAATTTCGAGTAATCTTATTACAGCACGAAACACTGCAAAAACGCTTGATCGCATGGGCCACCCCAACCCCCTCTATCTCCCAAGCGCGCGTCGCCAGTGATTTGTATATGTGCGTGCGTGTGTGTGTCTGTATGCTCGCCCTTTCTATCACCCACTTTCAACTCAAGAACCGGAAAAGCTAGAAGGCTGCATGGGGATAAATGCCTATACCATGCGCGATCCTCCTGTTTTAATTTCATCTCCCGCTGAATCCTGGGTGCCGTGTACGGATGCTTTAAAGAAATATGCAAATTTTCTGGTGGGAAAACGATCTCGAGAACCACATGAGCTAAGGGGCTGAAACTTTGTAGGGATATTTCCTGTGCATGTGCTAGCTAAAGATTTCAAATTCAGCCTCCAGGCATGCGTGGTACTCATGTAAGGGCGTATCAAAATATTAGCAGAAAAATTGCTAGCTCGGGAACCAGGGAAGCTAGAAAGCTGAAATTTCGAGGGAACGTCCTCTATCCAACTACAGCTCAAATATTTCAAATTCAGCCCTAACCTATGCATGGTATTCACATAAGGACGTATAATATTTTCGCGGGAAAATTACTAACTCGGCAACCAGAAGAGCTGGAAGTCTGAAATTTTAGAATAATGTTTCCTGCCCAAGTACAACTTAAGTATTTCAAATTCATCCTTGAGGTATGCGTGATTCTTATGTACGGGCACTTAAAAGTTTTGGCGGAAAAATTTCTCACTGTACAGCTAGGCTACTTTTAAAGAACGACCGTTAAATGGAAATCTACATTCTTTTAATGCAAAACTTATGGTAATTTATGCTAATTTATGGTGATTTACGCAAAGGTAGGTGTAAAGCAACAGCCATTCATTCCGTTAATTTCCGATGCAAAAACGTGACTTAGCACGGGCTCGCGCGGCGAGTTTCAGCCTGGGTTGCAATTTGCATATTTGCAAAAACTCATAATAAAGTGTGCTTTGGAGCATGCAGCACCAGCAATATCAGCAGTAGCACGATTACCTCAAATGACTGCATTATTTCTTCTAGTCGTTGTCGCATCTGTATCGACAGCTCCTGAAGTTCTACTCGACCCTCCAGGCATTCGATTGCTGCTTTCAATGAATCATGCCATTTCTCAAGCAAACTCTCCGGATGATTCTGATTATCGCCCTGCAAACCTTCGTTCACTGATTCTCCATTCTGCACTTCTTGACTCCCTCCGGCTCTGCTCACTGTTTCATTGTGCTGGAATGGTCAGCTGTAATTACGCGTTCATTTTTGAATTTTTGAAGGACAGTTACTAAAACTCGGTTCATGTGAGCTTAGCATATTGCACTTGTTAGTTGCTTTTTGCGAGCAGTAAAACTCACCGTGGTGCACAATTACTGTTTCTTTCTAAATTCTATTCAATTTCCACTTACGGATACGTGCAATTTGATGGTGACATCCTAACACCGTCAGCAAAAAAAGAAGTTAATAGCAAATCTGAGTTTGCTAATTGTTTCTATTCATTTAACTAGAATTATCTGCCCCAACAAAGTGTTGTTTAGTAACAAGCACTAGTGGCGAAAAAACTGCGCAGAAAACGCATAAAGGCATTGGTAAACCTGGTGCGCATTGCTTTCTGTTCCATCCGTAAAAAAATCATTGCAGTGCACTTTACGCATTTTCTACGGCGATATTTATGCACTGCGCACTTACAAAAAAACAGCTGCGAGTACAACAAACACTCTATGCGCTCTAATTTCTTCCTGGAGTTAAATTACTGTGTTAGTTATGGTTTTTTTTTCGCGCTCTAAACCACGAAAAATCATTAGCGACGCGCACTGGGCGGGCCTTTACAATCATGCGTTTTT